GAAATAAACGCTGGACAGTGAATGTTCACCCTTTTTGTACCCTTCAACCATGAAACTACAGCTTCTAGGTGGAATATCTTCTGTTAACTCTCACTGACATAAAGCAATGGGTAAAGCAAAGGTTTCACGAAGGTAAAAGTAAAGCAGAAGGCACCTACGTTATATTTAAATATGAATGAAACCAAAGGGTACAGGGAGGAGGTAACGCTCAGTACCAGGGTGAGCTTTTGCTGTAGTGGAGGGAGAGGGGAAAGGATTTGAGCGCCAGCTCAGCTGTGCTGGGTGTAGCGATGTTAACCTGGGGGGAGGACACCAGCACTTGCAGAGCAAAAGAGGGACCCGAGGACATGGGGAGGTGCCCACCCTGGGCCACAAGAGGTTCTCATTACGGACAGCAAAGCACCAGCAAGTGGTGGGATCTGTGGACACATAATGAGCCAGGGAGACGAATGCTGCTGAGGCTGTGATTTCAGCAGTACCAACTTCTAGTTCCAGAGCAATTTTTGAAGGAATTTTGGAGATCTCTAAGCAGAATTAAGAAAGAAGGATTTTTACAATAGAAATGGAGGTACTTCCAAAGCACAGCACTATACCTCTACATCAAAGTTAGTCATGTCAGCTTTCCACTGGAAGTGCTCCTGCACTGCTCCACCGAAGTCTCTTGCAGCCTCGTTTGACGTGAAACTGTGCTTGTCTCCTGCTCTATTGCATGTAACACGGAATTTCAACACCTTCGCCTCTCCTTCGCCTGCCTTATCGTCACCAGCCTTGGTCTCACTTCCAGAACCCGCCTGCAATTCATCCTTAGCATCTGAGTGCTCGTGATCATCCTCCTCCCCATTTTGGGATGCCACTCCTTCCGTCTTTTCCGTGTCCTGGCCGCTGGCAGGTTCTGCACCTGCAGTGTTTTGGGGACAGTCCTTCTCCTTACTGATGCCTTTTTGAGCTGTTCCTTCCCCTTCTCCATCATCACTCAACTTCTCTTTGCTTGCAGGATTCTGCAGATTATGTTTTTTGCGTTTTGTCTTTTTCTTTTTTAAGCTGTTGTTTAGCTCCCAGACTTTCAGTGGATTGGTCCAAGGCAGCTTTTTAACCAAATCTTCCAAATCCTTTAGAGCATCTTCCTTTAAAAGGCAAAAAAAAAAAAAAAAAAAAAAAAAAAAAAGTGCTTTGAAGTAATTACCTCCCTTTAAGAGCTATCCTTTTTCTAAGTCTCTTGAATTAGTTTTCTGAGCATGTAACCCAGCACACACACACATGTAAGTGATGCTTACAGCTTTGTGTGCAGTTTTTGCCATAACTAAACTTTAAGTCACAGGACCCACAGTATTTAACCATTTGTCTTGTCAAATAAACAGCTGACACTACATTAAGTGACTGAAGTGACACGTTAGTGTCCTGTGTCTAAACGTGACCTACAAGCATGGTATCAGCTCCCATCCTAGATTTCCCCTACGCAACTGAATAAATTATGTCCAACACAACTGCACTGCCATTTCACACACCAGCAAAGAGAACTGGGAGAACATGACAAATAACAAACCTTGTTCATAGAACAGAATACTTTCTGGAACGAGTCTTAAATTAAAACAAAAGCCACTGCAGAACCCCTGACTGGCTGAAAAAGGAGAAGGGAGGAGCTCACCTTGTTCTCTTTGAATTGATAGTCTTTGAACTCCTGAACAACAACGAACAAATTATCCACCGACCGCAGACGGTGCACCTACAAGAGAGGAGAGGCCACAGCGCTGTCACTGACCACGCGTGTCTGGGGGACTGGGGTTATCGCAACCGGGATTTTGCCCTCTGACATCCAGAGCTAAGGGACCGCATTGTCCCGGTATTTCCCTT